TCTTCTCCGGGTCTGGATGGCGTGAATTACGAAATGCTAAAGCATCTGTCCTATAAGTCACTGAATGCCCTTCCCACACTTTACAATAGAGTGTGGAAGGAGCGTACTTTTCCCAGTGCATGGAGGAGAGCTGTTGTAATTCCTATTGGTAAGCCAGGGAAAGATCCAAGGAATCCCTCCAACTATCGGCCAATTGCCCTTACGAGTTGCCTATGCAAACTGTTTGAAAAGATGGTAAACAGCCGCCTAGTCTACTTCTTGGAAAAGAATAATATTATATCGCCTTATCAAAGTGGTTTTCGAAAGGGGAGAACTACCGTAGATAATATGCTCCTCTTAGAGACATCCATTCGAAAAGCTTTTGTAAGAAGAAGTCACCTTGTCTCGGTATTCTTTGATATTGAGAAAGCTTATGATAAGGCATGGAGATACGGTATACTTCGGGATCTTCACGAGAGTGGCTTGCGCGGCAACCTACCAATTTTCATTCAGAATTTCTTGAATACTAGGACTTTTCAAGTAAGGATTGGCTCTGTTTTTTCGGATATTTTTCGAACAGGAAGAGGGTGTGCCTCAAGGCTGTGTGCTTAGTGTAACTCTGTTCAGTTTAAAAATAAATTCTGTATTAAAAAGAACTTCCTCCCACCATTTCAGGATCTTTATATGTTGATGATCTACAAATTAGCTGTCGAGGGTGCAGATATGAGACATGTAGAGAGGCAGCTCCAGATCGCTTTGAAAAGGATCCAGGAATGGGCAAAAAGACAAGGATTTACGTTTTCAAAACAGAAGACTGTGTGCGTGCACTTTTGTAAAAAGCGAGGTCTCCATCCTGAGCCTGAATTATACCTCAATGGGTCTGTAATTCCAGTTGCACCGAAGTAAAATTTTTAGGAGTGATGTTCGACCGAAAATTGACTTTCCTTCCTCATGTCTTAAACCTGAGAAAAAAAGTGTACTCAAAACACTAAATATTTAAAAGTGTTGGCGAAACACCTCCTGGGGTGCAGAGCGTTGCTCCATGCTTCGCATTTACAGAGCTCTAATTCGCTCTAGACTGGACTATGGCTCAGTTGTTTATGGATCCGCCCGGTCATCAGTTTTGTTAAAACTGGATCCTGTTCATCATCAAGCTCTACGGATCTGTTCAGGAGCTTTCAGGACTTCTCCTGTCCAGAGCCTGTATGTTGACTGTAATGAACCATCACTTTATCTGAGGCGTGAACAATTGTCCCTTTTGCAATATTTTAATATTCTATCCCAACCTGAACATCCCAATAAGCTGTGCTTACTTGATGATGTGTGTAACGCGTTATTTGAAACACGTCCATCCTGTGTTCCTACATTTCTTTTAAGAGTTCGCCCTGTCATTGAGGAACTTTCCCTCTCTGATATGCACCCCCAAGCAGTACAGAATTTTGAAATCCCACCTTGGGAAAATGCACGGATTCAGCTTCTTGATGTTTTTAAGTATCATGTGAAGGCAAGCACTAACGAGATTATTTACAGACAACTCTTCGCTGAGCACAGGGACAAATATAGCAGTTATCTTCCAGTTTATACAGATGGGATCCAAGTCAAAAAGATCATGTCGGGATGGCATTTGTAATTGAAGACCACATGGAGGGCAGACGCTTGCACAATGCTTTCTCTGTCTTAACATCCGAACTAACTGCGATATATTTATAGTTTTTTGTACATCTCAAGGCTCTGCTACAAAAAGTTTATAGTTTATATACAGATTCGTATAGTGCTCTTAAATCAATTAGAAGCTTTTCCTAATACTCAAAATCCAGTAATAGTGGATATTCTCAAAATACATATAAACTTAATGAATCGTGGATATGAAATCCTGTACTGCTGGGTTCCCGGGCATGTGGGAATAAAAGGGAATGAGCTGGCAGATATCACAGCAAAAATGTGCTGTTGAACTGTCCAGTCGTCTCATCCCTTTTGCAGACATTCTGTTGTGTTGTGAAACAAAAGATCCGAAAAAAATGGCAGCAACTTTGGGATGTTCAGCTTCAAAATAAATTAAGACATGTAAAACCTAGAATTGAGCACTGGGAATTAACCAAAAATCGTAAGGAGGAAGTTCTTTTGACTCGCCTCAGAATTGGTCACACTAGAGTGACACATAGCTACTATTTTAAAAGCTGAAAATGAGCCTGTTTGTTTTAACTGTAATGTTTGTTTATCTGTTCGTCATATTTTAATTGAGTGTCCATGTTTTAATAGTCTTCGCCAGAAATATTTTTAATAGCTGTGACTTACCTCTCGACCGTTTAATCGGAAGAGAGGTCAATTGTAATTTATTTTATTATTTAAAAGAGATTGGCTTTTATTACCAAATGTAATTTGTTTTGAAGACTGTGTCTTGAATTTAATATGTGCTTTTAACTTGTGTTTATATGACTTCATCCTCTGTGTAGTGTTGCTCATCCGTTAAGTTTCTAACAAATTACTTAGCGGAATGCATTCCTTCTAGTCTCCGCGAAGTCGAAGTAACAAACTTCGAGTTTTGTCACGCGATGCTACGGCATGTAAAATGTAAATAAATCTTATGAATAAGAATCTATAACATCGTAAGGAATAAAATATTGCTTCCATTGGAGTTAGAGAAGTGTTATTTTTCTGTATTTGCACACCAGACACTTCACTGGTGTATCCCGGCGTGATCGAATTCTACAATGGCTGACGAAGACGAAACCGAAATTAAAGCAACAACTGCATCTGTCGCTAAGGTAAGCGTTAAAGTTCCTCCTTTTTGGAAGCCAGATCCTAAAATATGGTTTATTCAACTAGAAGCACAATTTAGAAATGCAAAAATTAGTGCAGATGAAACAAAATATGATTATGTTATAAGTTCCATTGAACCCGATATTTTGTCACAGGTATTTGATAGTTTGCTAAGTCCACCACAAGATAATAAATATGAGGCAATTAAAAAATGGACTGATTTCATTATATGCTGATTCAGAGACTCAAAAAACCCAAAAATTACTGAGTGAGTTAGAACTGGGTGACAAAAAGCCATCTCAATTACTGTGTGAGATGCGTAATTTGGCGGGCGATAAATTACAGATACAAGTTTCTAATGAAATTTACTTAAAGCGGAATGGCAACACCTTCTAGTATCAGCGAAGAACGAAGTAAACAAACTTCGAGTTTTTGTCACGCGATGCTACGTGCATGTAAAATGTAAATAAATCTTATGAATAAGAATCTATAACATCGTAAGGAATAAAATATTGCTTCCATTGGAGTCAGAGAAGTGTTATTTTTCTGTATTTGCACACCAGACACTTCACTCTGGATTTGGTACATTTGTCTACTTGTTTATTTATTGAATTTTAAGTCATCAATTGTAATCATCCCATCTCGTGTTTGGCGCGCTATATCATCATCTTTGGTTTTTGTGCCATAATCTCTCACTCACTCACTCTTAGGCAGATTTAAAACCTCCGGGAGATGTGATTCTAAGCGAACAGATTGATAACTTTGCTTGAAAGATCTTGATTGCCGGTGCTGTTGATGGAATAAGCAATTATATGGCAGCTCGTTGAAGAGACGTCCTTCCTTCATGGCGCGGGGCTGGAACTGATGTTGAGAACGGTGCTTCGGTACACCAGGGCAAAGAATATGTATTGTTAAGAAGGAAAGCTTAGCAGAAGCAGAAGTGGCTCCCTTCTAACGAAAAGGGAAACAGCTGCGCATGCGTGAATTATCTGTCGCCAAAAACAGCGCCAAAGTTCGAACAGGTTTCCTGGTCACGTTTTCCACGATTTTGCTTTGCCTGTGTGACACCATTTTTTTCCCCTCCCTATTGACGGATTAAATCGGACATCAATAATTCAATCTGCGATATGGATAATGGAAGTTCAACAGCCAGTGAAAGTGAAGCTTCACCTAATATTTCATCATTTCCCAGGTAAGCTTTATTTCTAACTTTTTATCATTAAACTTAAAAAATTGCTGAATGTAGTAAATAACATTTTTTAGTCGTAGCTTTTTCTTTCCATGTTGACCAAGCAAAATTTTGTCTAAATATACGAATCATGCAAGTTCTGTAAAGAGATTTTTCTACCTCACATTGCAGTAATAACATTTTTATTGCCAATACTTTTCAAATTTCTAAATGTTAGAATCTATGAACTAATAATTTTAATTAATGAAATGTTGAATATTGAAGGCCTTAAATGTAAATTAAAAACCTTTCTTATGTTTAAAAATAATTTATAAGTGTTAAGGAAATCTTTCAATAAAAAATAATATTGATGTAGCCTTATATATTGGCTGTTAAAATATACTTGCAGCAATTTTCACATTTTATCTGATATTTTTTAATTTTATCAGTTTCTATAAAAATGCAAATTCATAGCATATTATTTTTTTCATTCGGGATGTCGAGTGTTCGACTAATTTATTGTATATCTCTTGCTTAGGAAAAGGAAAGCAGCTACCAAAACATGGTATCGATGTTTTTGTTGTGGTACAACGTCTTGGAAAAATCCAGAGAAGAAGGATTCTTCCGGATTTCCTAAGGATCCTGTTGAGGTAAGAGTTTTGTAATTTAATATTTACATACATGCATAATTTATTAAATATTTGATTATTATATCCATTATCATATCTTTTCTAGAGAAAATTATACAGTTATCAATAATTTCAAGTAGTTCATTTATTTTGCAGTTAACAACTTCATGGCCATTAGCTCTAATTTTAATTTTTACGACTGTCTAAATCTAGATGGTCACTTTTGATTTGACTATTTAATAAAAATTATTGTACAAGTAATAAGTACATAATGAATTAGCATTCTAATGTGTACTCCAAGTTTTTTCATTAATCAATTTACTTCATTTAAACGATGCTACATCTTTCACTAATATGAAAAATAAATTTCATTAAATCAAAGAAAATGAAGTTACTATTTTTCTGCTTTTACAGGTCAAAAACAGTGGGCTGCTGCCTGCAATAAAGATCTGCATCAGCAAATCTGCAGAATGAATTATACAGAAAAGGAAAAGTGTGTTCTAATACACTTCATTGAAAGTGACTTCCGTACAACCAAATTCCATTACCTACATTCCTGTGCTGTACGAAAGAAGTTAGGGCAAACAGGTAAACATGATTCTCTATACATTTATGTAAAATTAAATTTTATTCATTGTGATAATGTATGTTTTTATCTTGTTTTATAATTTCAATTTTTAACTGTGCATTTCGTGTTCAATGAATTAGTTATTTTTATATGGTTTAGTGATGCATCGGTAGCACTAGATGCAAACTATTTATTTTTTATATGAAAGTTCATTGAATAAAGAAAAAAACTTTTCATGAATCCTAACAATGAAAATTTAATTTTTTCCTAATGACCATTTGAAAAAGCTTGTAGATAGTTTGTTTTTTCGTTTGTAAAGTAAACTATTTTCCCCATAAAAATCAATTGGAGAAATGCACGTCAGTGGCCAACAGTTTAGAATCTGCACTGGGTCTATCACATTGTACTTAAAAATCTATAAACTAATATTTCACTACAATAACTCAGTAAAGAAAATCACAAGGCATAGAGCTATTCATAAGATAAAAAACAGCTCAAATAAATACAAGCTGTGCCAGTAATGATAAGTAATTTAAGAATAAACAGAAAAGGTCTTCTAGAAATACTCAACACTGTAAAATTGTTAACTTATTAAATTGCAAATTTGTACTGTAAAGGATTATGTATTATGTTATATTTAAATGAAGTATTTTTTATATTTATTCTTATTAGATGATGAAAGTCAAAAGACCATGGACGTAGTACATACTGAAACATCACTGACTCAAACAGTAAAAACAGATGAGACTCAGGAACTGCCATATGTAAATGAGGACCAAGAGAAAGAAGCAATTAAAACGCCAGATACACACTGCAAAGTTTACACTCCAAAGAGTTTAAAAATAAAGAGACTGACAAGCCAAGTATCGTACTTAAAGAAAAAGTATTGCCACGGCAAGAATTCTGTAAGAATAGTAGATATACTTAAGATAATTCAACCAGTCGTCCATATTTTGATATTGCTGATGTGGGCTAAGTTGAAAATTACACGTCCAGTGTCGTTTGAATTATAGCAGTTCCACGTGCGGTGTCGTGCATTTAAGTCTCCACCTAGGATAATGTGTTTTCCAAGACTGAGTAATATTTGTAAGTCAGCCAGGACTGCAGATACATGACGTCCTGGGGGTATGTAAGTGGAGACAAGAATGTATGTTATGGAAGTGTTTGTTGTGAGTGAAAGAGCAGAGGCCTCCACGACCGAAAGCTGCGGTATTGTGACGGGAAAATGTGGGATGCAGCGTTTAATCAGGAGTGCTGTTCCACCCCCTGTTGGGCGGGAAATAGACAGAGATCTGTTCAATCGATGCACTGTGTAGTTCTGCACATAAATAGGTGTGGTTGGGCCAAGTTCTTGTAGGAACATAACATCAGGAGTGTACTCATTTATAAAATCTCTTAATTCATGAATTCTATGAGATAATCCATTTGCGTTCCATGTAATAATATTCAATACATTATTTACATTATTCATTATTTACATTTGAGGCAGATCCAAAGATATCTTCAAACAATTCAAATAATAGAAATAATTTGTCGACAGTATTCTGGGTTGCCTGTAGTTCAGGCATTTTGTTAGAGATTTTTCATAACACATTAACAAAAGAGATACCATTGAACATGTTTACAATATCTTTGATGAGTTTAGACACTTCAAATAGGCCAACATCGTTACTGTTGTTCTGCTTGTTTATTTTACTCTCAGTTTTTGCTATTTTTCGCTTTTTTCACTAATAACTGATTCAACAGGAATCTGGGGGGTTTTCCCACTTGCAATGTTTGCATAAGACACTCCAGATTTAACATAGCTATCTTTGACAGGTTGGTTGCTATTATTATTAACTATGATTTTTTTGCTCTGCAATCTGGCACCTTGGGGAGCTGGGAATTTGGAGCATCCGCTATAATTTGTGGGATGTCCTGTCTGCCCAGTTACAGCATTTGACATTTTCAATGAATTTACTTACACACTCTTCAGTCTTATGAGTGCCAGCACACTTAACGCATCTTGGTTTCAGTTTACAATTATCAGATGAGTGATGGAAGTGCTGGCAGTTGTGACGCTGCACAACACTCCCATTCACTCGATAAGGCTTAAAATTAACATAAAAAATTTAGGGACTTAGTCACATCATAGATTTTTTCAACTTCGGGAGTCTTTTCAATGTGAATTTGAAAGAAGGGCATGGGGACTCTTGTTCGAATTCGATGCATTTGTGCTACCTTTCTTATTTTGTAGCCCATCCTCGTTAGTTCTTCATGAATATCCTCCGAAGAGCAGTCAATAGGCATGCCTCTTAATACCACTTTGAGTGGCTTGTCTAATTTGGAAAGTATTATGTAATGGTTTATTTTCTTTGCATCCAGATATTTTTTAATGGCCCGCTGGTCATCCTCAGTGTCAGGGAAGATTTTTAAAAAGTCCCCCTGCACCTTGCCTGCAAATTCACATTTGACTTCAGTTAAACTTCATATCTGGTTTAATCATAATTGGTTTAGGTTTAGCAATCTTAACACAGACATTATCATTCATTACAACATCGTTATTATCATCATCAGTTTTATCATTTACATCATTTGTACTAAGCTTTTCAAATTTATTGGTTAAAGGCAATTCTGTGTTACATTTTATCAATTTGCTCGGGCGCGCGATATTCTTGGGAAGAATAAACCCATCCGCGTCCCAATCATCATTAATAGATCTTTTGGCCAGCTTTTTTGAGGGGCGCTTAGGCCTAGGTTTAGTAATATCAATTTGATTAGCATTACCATTTACTAATTCCTTAATCTTATCAGTTTCCTTAACATTACACATATCATTGGCTACAGAGCATATACTATTTACTAGAATATTTCTATGCACAAGTTTTACATCATTAGTATTTACATTAACACCAAGGGCAGAAGCAGCACTTTCGCACTTACCTTGTAAACTCTCCCTCAGGGCTGTTCCCACGCAGCGTTGTCTCTCCAAGGTCTCCCGCCAATCATAGCATTTGCCTCATCGGTCATAGTACTGAGAATGTTTTTACACAAGTTGCCAAGCGCAGTCAGATCTGTATTAATTGTTGCAATAAATGCGCAAACGTCTGCATGAGTCCACACTTCTTTAGCAAACACATCTTGCCACTCCGGACCGAGGGTATTGTTTCCGTAATTGATTGCGTCAGGTCCTAATCCACACAGCATTTGTTTGATACAGGCAGTAGTCGTAGTATCCATACTTTGCTTTTCTGGAAGCGGCAGAAACTCGTTTCCCACCATGTGAGACGATATAACACACTTCGTCGATATCGCAAATATGTCGAGAAAAACACTCGCGATGACACAAAAAAGAACACTACTCTATCACCGAAAAGTAATCATGTATCCAAATTGCGTGTAAATCCAATGCAGGAGCACTAATAAAGCAGAAAAATAAGCACAACACAAAACCATCCAAGATGGCGGCGAAACTGGCTCACGGAGCACGAGGTCGAACACGGAGCTAAGTGAAAACACCACTGATGTTGAGACTGACTGACTGACTGGCAGGTTATTGCTGGCAATGCAGTCCTGTGAACTGCGTATCCGGCTCTATCAAACTAGCCCCAATGGCGACATCACGATATGTCAATCATCACGTACATACAGTAAATAGGAGGTGGCAAAGGGGGGACCTGCATCATTCGGTCAGGAGAGCTAAGCATTATGGATCAGAGGTGGAGATGTTGTCATATAATGCAATACAAACTATTTTCAATATATATACAAAATTTATCAAGTGGGGAAGTTTGAGTTACAGACGTGGGCCGCGAATGGACGTAGGTCTTTATCCTGCATTAACACGACATAGTTGAAAATCAGAAAAATATTCATGTGATCACACTTAAGTGCCTTATCATAAAAGTGCCTATTAAGTTTGCGTATGTGCTCCTCAAGTGTATCCAGACGCAAGTCATGGTGAAGAGTTAAGTTACTGACATACATATGCGCATTAGTAATAGTACGAAGCACTCTATTCTGTATTAGTTGCGCCCTCAGGGGGCTCACTTTTGTGAGTACGGGTGTGGCAATCCCGAGGTACCCTAGCCCTTCAGGGGATCATCTTCTTGGTGAGACGGGTGTCACGATCCTGGAGCCCCAGTGACCTATTCTCTTTTCCGCCTCCTCTCCTCTTGGCTGGAACTTTTTCCCTTCCCTTCTCCCTCGTGGTTTCTCTCTACAGAGTTTGGGGCTTGTCACGAGAGACTGGAGCAGCCCTTGTCTCTAGTTTTCGAGTGGCAAGAAAACTGCCCACGTGTTTGCCGTGTGTGGAGACCCGTGTCGCTGGAAAGGAGGGTCCTGGTAGTTGAGGGGCGAGGTACTGTCCCCAACACACTACTTTGGCCTCTGCTTCAGCTAAACGGGAGGCACCTTAGTCGTTCTCACGGGTGTCAATCGGCTGGTCACTAGTCCTTGTGTCAGTAGCTTGGGGTCAAGCTCTCGGAGTACCTGCTTTCGGGAAAGCCGACTGTGGGGCTTCAGTTTGCGTATAGGTCCGGCTAGCCCAAACACAGAAATCTGTGTTCCCTTGTTGGGCTCTGTTTTGGGCGGGGCCGTCGGACCCGAATCATTTTTTCTTTCACTATGGCTAACTCACATATATACTTAATAAAAGATTTCGAGGTCACTCAAGTCAATCCAGTGACTCAATCTAGTTCTGAAATGTCTACTGCTAAACCAGTCACTCAACCTAGTTCTGAAACGACTACTGCTAAACCAGTCACTCAACTTAGTTCTGAAAAGTCTACTGCAAAAAAATTACGTACAGATACAAATGAAAAAAATTATAATAATAGTCCCTGTTTCCTAGTCATCTCTAGTCCTTCTGGCGAAATGCATAAGATGTCTCCTTTTGTAATAAATAAATACATCCAGTCTTGTATTGGTGAGCCGAGAAATATAAAGCGTCTCCGCTCCGGAGACTTGCGGATTGATACAACCTCAGCCACCCAGTCTGCTTCTTTACTTCAGATAACTAAAATTGGGCAAACGAATGTCACTGTCACAGCACATAAGTCACTGAACTATTGTCGTAGTGTAATCTCAGAATTCGACCTTCTGTATGTTTCTGAAGAAGAGATCGCTTCTGAGCTATCCGACCAAAATATCTGTGGTGCAAGGTGGATCAAGATGCGTAAAGAAGGTAAGTTGATAGACACGAAACACGTGATCCTTACCTTCAACACGCCTGATCTGCCTAAGAGTATTAAGGCCGGATATCTAAATATTCCTGTAAGACCTTATATTCCTAACCTTATGCAATGTTTCCAGTGCCAGCGTTTTGGCCATTCTAAGATGACTTGTCGTGGCAGCCTCACATGCGCCCAATGCTCACAGATTGGCCACGATTCTGAAAATTGTACTGCTGCGCCTTTGTGTATAAATTGCAAGGGTGAGCACCCAGCATTTTCACGCCTCTGCCCAAAATGGAAATTGGAAAAAGAAGTGCAGACTGCAAAGGTTACGAGGAACATCTCATATGCCGAGGCCAGAAGATTAATCCAAAGCACACACCTACGACCAAATACATCTTATGCCAATGCTCTTAAAAGATCTCGCACACTTGCCACCCAAACATCAGTTAGTATGCAGACTCCACCAAACAAAACTCAACAGACTACAAACAACAGGAAGAAAGAAAATGCAACCCATACAGTACAAAATAAAGAAATAGCAATACAAAGCAAACCCAAAACTACCACACAAAAAGAAACAAATAGAAATAAAAGTTCCAGCAATAGCTCTCTCGATGGAATGGTTTCTGAATCTGCGGATTCAGACAGTATGGAAGTAGAAGAGGGTCTGGAAGTTCTCAAGCATCTACTCCCACGAAAAACAAAACAAGAGCACACAAAAAAACAAAAACCATTCATAATGGCCACCATCATCTCATGGAACTGTCGCGGTTTCCACCGAAATTTGCTTGACATGAAATCTATTATAAATGCGCATCATCCTGTGTGCTTAGCTATACAGGAAACAAATCTGAACCCGGAACAACAGGCAAAACTTCGGAGGCTTTCTTTCGTCAGGAAGGATAACCTTGCAGGTGAACGTGCCAGTGGAGGTGTTGGCTCCTCACCTCACTGGACTACCCATCAAGTTCCTTTCCTTTGACGACACCCCTCCAAGTTGTCGCTACTCAAACAAATTTTGATATTGTTGTTACATAGTCCACTCTGGGGTAGTAAAGATACAAACTGCCGAGGAAGACAATTTGAGCAGATGATCGTCGATCATAGCCTTTGTCTCCTGAATAATGGGCAGGATACATACTTCCATGAGCCTTCAAGGACATTCCACGCTCTCGACCTTGCCATCTGTTCACCATCTCTATTGCCATTTTGCACTTTTAGTGTCGGAAATGACCTGTACAACAGCGTACAACCGCCTAGTCTACTTCTTGGAAAAGAATAATATTATATCGCCTTATCAAAGTGGTTTTCGAAAGGGGGAGGTCTACCGTAAATAATATGCTCCTCTTAGAGACATCCATTCGAAAAGCTTTTGTAAGAAGTCACCTTGTCTCTGTATTCTTTGATATTGAAAAAGCTTATGATAAGGCATGGAGATACGGTATACTTCGGGATCTTCACGAGAGTGGCTTGCGCGGCAACCTGCCAATTTTCATTCAGAATTTCTGGAATACTAGGACTTTTCAAGTAAGGATTGGCTCTGTTTTTTCAGATATTTTTTAACAGGAAGAGGGTGTGGCACAAGGCTGTGTGCTTTTTGTAACTCTGTTCAGCCTAAAAATAAATTCTGTATTAAAAGAACTTCCTCCCACCATTTCAGGATCTTTATATGTTGATGATCTACAAATTAGCTGTCGAGGTGCGGATATGAGACATGTAGAGAGGCAGCTCGAGATCGCTTTGAACAGGATCCAGGAATGGGCAAAAAGACAAGGATTTACGTTTTCGAAACAGAAGACTGTGTGCCTGCATTTTTGTAAAAAGCGAGGTCTCCATCCTGAGCCTGAATTATACCTCAATGGCTCTGTAATTCCAGTTGCACCTGAAGTAAAATTTTTAGGGGTGATGTTCGACCGAAAATTGACTTCCTTCCTCTTGTTGTAAACTTGAGAAAAAAGTGTACCAAAGTTTTAAATATCTTAAAAGTTCTGGCGAACACCTCCTGGGGTGCAGAGCGTTGCTCCATGCTTCGCATTTACAGAGCTCTAATTCGCTCTAAACTGGACTACGGCTCAGTTGTTTACGGATCTGCCCGGTCTTCAGTGTTGTTAAAACTAGATCCTGTTCATCATCAGGCTCTGCGGGTTTGTTCTGGAGCTTTCAGGACAGCCTGTGCAGAGCCTTTATGTTGACTGTCACGAGCCATCACTCCGTTTGAGGCGTGAGGAGTTGTCTCTTTTACAGTATTTTAATATATTGTCTCAACCTGACCATCCTTACAAACTGTGTTTATTTGATGATAGCTGTGACCATTTATTTGAAGCACGTTCATCCTGTGTGCCTTATTTTCCTACCAGGATTAGTCCTCTAATTGAAGAATTCTCCTTATCTGATATGTCCCCACAAGCAGTACAGCATTTTGAGATCCCACCTTGGGAAAATGCTCAAATCTAGCTTCTTGACATTTTCCACAGTTACGAAAAAACAACCACAAATGACATCATATACAGACAAATTTTGGCAAGGCAGCAGAATTACAGCAGTTATCTTCCCGTATATACGGATGGATCGAAGTCAACTTGTCACGGTGGGGTCCTGTATAATTGGTGACCATTGGAGGGCAGACGTTACACGACGCTCCTAGGTCTAACCACGAAACTGCTATCTTTTATCGCTTTTGTACATCTCAACGCTTTGTATAAAAAATTTCATTTATATACAGACTCTAATGTGCACCAAAAGCTTAGAATCCTTTTCATTAAATAAGTCATCAAAGAGAGGATCAGATATAAAATGGCAACAATTTTGGGACATTCAGTCACAACAAGTTGGAAGGGGTTGAAGGGCTAAAATAGAGCATTGAAACTACTTGCAATCGTAAGGAACGTCTTTTGACTCGCCTTAGAATTGGTCACACTA